GCCAGCTCCTGTTGGCTTCCTTATCTCTGTGTAGCCACGATTTTGTATGTATGCCTTCTATGGACACATACATGCTGGTCTTTCATTATGGGAACATTATAGATGAAAACGATGGCTCACCACTAGCATTACTGGTAGAAACTAATCATGATGGCAAGCTGAGAACTGAAATTCATTGAGGATGTATAGGTTTTTGTTACTTGGAATACTGCAGTAACACCGTCATAGTCTTACCACTCCCATTATAAGTCTTCAAATCCTAGCGATGCTTTTCTTTAGAGAACCCCAAATTAATAAAGTTGTCAGAACTTTATCCCATATAAATAAGGTGGGGTTGTAAGCTGCATCTCTAATAATTCTGAAGGAAAGACTTCAAAGATGGCCTGACTTTTTTTTGTACTGAGCAGCAGAAGAATCTCTGTTCCGTTCTCCACCTGAAGCAAATGCAGTTGTTTTTCTACAAAGAGCCAGTGCTCTTTGCTGATGGTCACTTCAGGTTTAGATTCCATCATGGAAGGTGTTAATCTGTCAAGCAGCAAATATGGTTGCTCACATGGGAGAAAAAAAACTTTGGCAATAATATCAGGAAGTGGTGTTGCTTTACAGTATCTTTAAATTCCAAAGGAATCCAGTCACTCACAAATATCCTGTTACTGTGGATATTACTAATTCTTTCTGGTCATGCTGGCTGTTTTACCTATGGCAATTGTGTCACTGTTCTGAAATCAGAACACATTACGGAGCAGCACAATAAGAACGTGCCGTTAAAATGGGCTCACTCGTGTGTGCCTGCAAGCAGAAGTACAATTACTAATCTAAGCTTTTCAACTTCAGCAAAACCCCATCCTACGTTATGCTTCTGAAGTACCGTAATAGCCGATCATTCTGTTACATTACTGGGAATATGTCCTTTCATTTCTAGCTTCTTTTTCCTAAGGAAACAAGGCTCATACAATTATTCTGTGTGTCAGTGCCTCCTCATAGCTGTTGGATCTCTTCACCAATTTCAACCAAGTTTAATAGAGGGATAGAGTTCTTAAAGATACTAACTTAACCAAAAAAATTATGGAATTCAGTGGCTGGGGTCCTAAGGTCCAAGTTAGTACCCTCTTGAAAAGCCACGTAAAGAGAACTTAGTTCTCCCTATTGTGTTAGCTATTAGCAAGCCAGCTAATTGATAAACACAGCCCGGATAGCACACTATACCTAGCTCTGAACCAGCTACAGTACCAGCTGCTTCTTGCCCAGCCTGATGGATGGAGGATGCAGGAACTGAAGGTGTAAGGGACAGAGAGCCCTGAACGTAATGTGGGAAGTAGTCAGAAAAAGGCAGAAGGGATGCCAATTGCTGGGAAATAGAGGAAAGTAAGCTTCATTAGTTCTGCTGCTCCCAGAACTCCTTGCTTTTTTCTTAATAAAAAGAATTAATCCTGCAATCCTGTCTTAGAAATGTCTGATAAGGCAGGTTGCTAGTGTATGCAGGTTATCGTGGTTCCACCAGCTCCAGTACAGCTATGATCACATAAATCAACCTAAGATATCCCCCCAGCATTTTTATGGACGTGCAGATTCATATCTTACTTTCTTTCATTTTTGAAAAGCGAGAAAGAAAAAATATCAACTCTTTTTTCTTACTGTATAACTACAAGCTCAGTTCACCTTGCTTCTTGGCCTCTGAGCGTCGGACAATTAAAAAAAATAAAGTAATTGCCATTCAGATGTCTCATAGTGCAGAAAATGCATCAGTTTGCATAGTTAAATGCATGCTTTTAAAAGTATGACAGTGACTTTCAAGGAATTTAGTTTATTCACAGAGGCTTAAAGAGACGCGCAGTCAGAGCTGCTATATATAGAACATATTTCTAATAGTAAATAGTTTTATAACGGAAGAATGTACAATGAGATCCGGCAGGAGATGGAAACTGAAGCTTGGCAAAATAAGGCTAGAAAAAATTACAGGTTTAATTCAATAAGAGTATTTAATCAGTAGAGAGATATGTTTAAGAGCATGGCACTTTCTCCATATCTCAAACATTTTAAATCAGCCTTCTGTTACAGGCTTAGTGACCAGATACAAACTGACACAGAAGCTACTGAGTTGTGTGTATGTTGTGCATAAGATCAGACTTGAGGGTGTCATAGTCCCTTTTGGTCTTAAGCTTTCTAAATCTAAGCACTAATGCTCAGAAAAGATTCTTACCCATATAAAAACCCTGAGGGTTAATTGCCTGGGTTTTCTTAACTCCTTTATGGTCATGTCTACAGGGCACAATACCTTAGATAGCTCTAGCTGTTTTGGTTGGACACACCAAAGTCAGTAGAGCATCATGCTGACACCTCCAGCATTTCACTGTGCCAGATGATAGACATATTTTTTTGTGTCATATAACCGATGTCAAGAATTATAGTGGCTGGAGACAGTGGAGGATACTGTCTGTGCCTTACTTAGCATATGGCAGCCCCGGAGCAGCAGCAGCTGGGTCTCTTCTGGCTCCAGCACCATTTAGCTTCTGTACCTAAGCATATATTTTCCACATAGGCAACCCTATAATGGCCTAGAGCACTGCTATGCTGAGACTGCAGTATTAAAAGGTTATTAAGGTGCTTGCAGATCTAACTTTTGAAAGGCCATGTATTTTAGGATGAGGTGTTGTGACTTGATTGCAGATGGATGTTTTCCCTGTGGCCGAGTCGGGCTCAGATGAAGAGGGAGTTTGATCCAAACAGTTTAACCCCACTGAGTGTGTTGGTTCTGCATTGCAGCCTACCTGTTGTAACTTTCACAATATTACTACCACCCCTCCGTTTTCAAAACTCTTCACTTAAGCTGTTCTTCTGTTGACTGAGGAGCCTGAAGTGTGTTCCATAATGCCATATACCTGCAGAAAGGCCATTGAAATGACATGTATGCCAAAACCAAAACCTGTGTTTTGATATACTTAAGAGATGTCAGGAACTGTGATTTCAGCTATATAAGGGCAAAATTAAAGACATTTTCATTTTTTAGTTTGGGTTTTTTTTTTCAGTATCTGCAGTAAAATAACAACTTTAAATGAATAATACTAGCTATCCTATAAACTGGAAGTAGTACTAATGTTTTGCTTCTCAAAACAGTTGTCTTTCTTCTGGTGGTGCCTCCACTGTCTGTTAAGTTTCATTTTTATCAGTCCAGTACTTCTTATCCATAAACAGAATTACTTTCCAACATGAAGATGCGCAGACACACACACACATTGAAGCCCACTCAATATTAAATGTTATTGATCACACAGGGATAGACAGCATGATACATCTTTCTAACAAATAGTATAACTGCAGCCAGCAAACAGGCATTCCAACAAGCTGCGTAAAACTACCTGACATTTTCTAAGTTCCTCTGCTGCTCATAGTGTCATAATCATGTGACATATATGGAGCTGCAGTAAAGAAATCACATCAAATCATCTACCAGAAAGTGATTTGGTGAAAATGTTTTGCAAGAACACTTCTATGTTGTCAAAACCCCCCAAAATGCTGTCAAAATATTTTTGAAAGTCAAAGCTACTTTCTGACAACTATTTCTTTTTTAAAAGCAGAGCAATAATTTTGGAAGGGAGCCTGGAGAATGAAGCTCTGTAATAAAACTGAGCTAATATTTCCAAATATATGTTTTGTTTTGTATACAACATCAGCTTTTCAATAGGAGTTTTGACCATATCTGGCTTCAGTATTTTAGGGCAAAGGCTTTTGATCTTTCTCAGCCTAGACAAAGGAGGGGTGGGAACTATCAAAATAAGACACTGAATACAAAAATGGTATGTTGGTATGTAGCAGACCAATCAAAAAAAAGTTAGCAATGTTTTTGTAAGGAGAATATTTCTATAAATGTGGTAATATCACTAGGCAAAAGTAACTCATTAAATATAGCATAAGTCAAAACCAAAGCTCTACAGAGCATTGCAATACTGTTCAAGCAGAAATGACAAGGTAATTTTTAGCTAATTTCACTATAAAGCAATAAGGTCAGAGATTTATTTTATTTTCTTTTATTTTATTAACCTTACTTTGTTTACTCATTTCCCCAGGTGCATATTTCTCATGCCAATAGCAACTCTCATATCTGTG